CTTGTGGATTGACAGCAGGGGAAGGGCTTGGACAGGAAGTTCCGCCCGTCTTCTTCAGCTGCTTCTCGGGTGGCCTTCTCTGCCCCGCCATGTTTCAGTTTTGTTTATATTTTAAAAGTTTATGCTACGCAGCCGAGAGAAACGTCCCTGACTGCCGCTTTTTGCTCTCTCCCCAAAGGTAATTCGCTTCCACAGATCTCCACTTCGCCCCCTCTTTTCTTTAAAAAAGTCCCTTCTTCCAGTGGGGGGGAAGCCTCCCCCTCCCTTCCGATTTTCTCGGGGGAACGAACGCGTTTGTAAAGCCACTTCAAATTCGATCGCCAACTCACAGTTTATCGCTCTTTCAGTTTTATTTCGACTTTGCTTTATCGCTTCATCACTCCAATGTTCCGGTGGCGTTGCTAGTCCCCATTACAGGGCACGACACAGCTGGGGCCGTTTGGGGCAGAGGGAGAGCCTCAATTCCCGACCTTCTGGTCGGCAAGAGGCTTACTCCCTAGGCACCCCCTAGTTCGGAGCCCTTACCCTAGGGCTCCTTAGGATCTCCACTTGCGCGGGACCCCCCCCGGACTGCGTGTGAGTGATCTGGCTCCGGGAGCGTCCCGAGAGCCGGTCGCCATTTGCGCCACCGTGGCCGGAAGTATCAGAAGTACTGCCATTTTTAAAAGGCTGATTCCACTACTTGTCTGTCATATTTCAGAATGTCAGACTTTGTAAATCATGCAGAAGTTCAAACATCTGCATTCAAACAAGTTCAAACAAATGCATTCTCAGTCCTAGATCATAAAATTCATCATGGGTCTACCCTTTAATTTGTCAGTGCTTGTAAGTCACATGTAGTTCTTGGATAGCTTAGTGTTCTTATACTCTTTTTTAAAAAGACTAGAAGTAGCTATAGGCCCTCACCATTTATGGTGGATCTGGTCCTAGCCTGTTAAAAGTAGAAGTGCATATACAGTAGAGCCTCTACCTTCCAAGCCCTGCACTCAGTGCCCCTGCCTTCGGAGGTAAGGAAGGTGATAACCAAAGACCAGGCTTTTTTGAGATTGGCACCTCACTTGTGGAATACCTTTCCACTTGAGGTTCAGCTGGCCCCTGTTGCTATCTTCTAGGAGCCAGGCCAAAATGTTTCGGTTCACCAGGCTGTTAGTTAAGGGGTTGATCTTTTATGTTTTTAGTCTTAAAACTGTTATTTAAACTGCTCAGTAATCTGTTTTTAGGCTCTGGTTGAGGGTTGTTGTTTTTTTAAAAAAAATCTGAATTCTAACTAATAACGTTTAGAGTTTGTGTCTTTATTATATTTATTTATTTATTTATAGTTTCAATTTCTATACTGTCCTTGGCCCCGGAGGGTCTCAGAGGATATCTACCAATTATACCTAATCTAGGGCCACAATTCATTTGGGGGGGGGGGCTGCCTACCATTTTATTCTGTAAACTGTCTTGGACAGGTTCCCTGGAGAGATGACATATACATTTTGTAAATAAATAAAACTGTGAAATTGGCAAATACTGGGAGGTAGGGCTCTGCTGCCTCCAAATGGGGGGGGGACTCCTGCAAAATTTAATGGTATACTGATCGTGGTGGTGACACAGTGGGAGTAAAAATTGTCTGGAGACCATGTCACATAATCAAAGAACAGACCACAAATAAGTGAAACCGTGAGTCACAAATCCATGAATGGTGAGACTCTACCATACAAAGCAGTAAGAAGGTGTTAGTGGAGTTTAGGATCTACTCCTCCCTTTCTGTCTTACATTAAAGAAGTAGTGTGGTGATTGGTGGCACAGAAGAAGGTAATGAGGTTGGGGATAGTCACTGTGGAATGTATATACATGTGTAAATGTATATAAATGTTTCATCATGGATCTTGCATGCCAGAGAATTTGCAGGACTGGTAAGCAGAACTGTTCCAACTGAAAAGTAATCAATACCCAGAAGTCTGAAGCTCAAGAAGGCCAAAATATTATGATAATTATAGACAGAAGTACATGTGTCTATTTCAAAAAGAGTTAAAAACTTTTTAGGGGCCTCATAATGTAATCAAAGTGACAAATGTAAAAAAGGAACCATATATGACCTGATGTGTTTTGGCTCAAAAGAGCCTTCTTCAGAGGTCAAATTGTACAGAATACAACATACAACAAAGCTTGTGAGGCAGTAAACAATTGATGGAGGACCCACACATGAATGTTCCAATCTGGAATTGAATGACACAAAAACATATGTGAGCCCACATTTGTGTCTGGCCTTATGTAAGTGGCAGTTACATATACTGGAGAAAGTAATATCGCCAATATCTACTTTCCATTTTCGGTCCTAAGATTACAAGTACAATCACCTTATCAGGGCCAATGTAAAATCAATATTATGAGGCTTTACTTGGGCCCCTACAAGGTTTTTAACTGTTTTTGAAATAAACACATGTACTTTTGTCTATAATTATTGATATTTTTTGGCCCCTTATTTTTCTAAAGTTTTGGCTCTTGCTTGGTTGGTTTAGTTTTTCTTCCCCTTTTTCATGGGTGCAAAATATCATGATGACAGATTTACAAATACAAATCTTATGACAGAATGTGAGGAGGACAGAAAAAAAATAGTGACTAGCTCTTGATAAGAAGAAAGAAGATAGTGAGGGCTCAAATGTAGCTTGACATTTGTTGAAAAGAATGCTGGATCCATTCACGCCTGATAGTTCAACAGAAACATGGTTTCTAGTCCTCATGTCAAAGATTTTTAATAGGAAATGCCAAGGTTATGCATAACCTTCAACATGCATAGTGCCACTGAACTGTGGTCCTGTATCTATTTAGAGACAGTGCAACATATTCACATTTTCAAGAATAAAACTTGGAAAAGTGATAAAATAACAAATAAATAATTTAAAACCAGTTTCCTACTGAAGCCCAGAAAGGAACCAATCCTAAACAGGTCTACTCAGAAGTAAGTAAAGCATTATTCAATTGGGCTTACTTCCTGGAAAGTGTCCTTAATATTGCAGCAAAATTAACTTGGGAAATACAAGAGGATAAAGTGTTAGAGCCTGTGGTTAGAGTTTTGGGTCAGAATTTGGGTTACCAAGATTCAGATCACTGTTAATCTCTGAAGCTCCCTGGGTGACCTTGGGCCAACCTTACCTGTGAGGAAGAACAAACAGAATAATGCATTCTATCTAAGCTCTTTGAAGGAGGAGTGGGATTAAAAATATAATAAATAAATAGTATTTGTGTCTTCCTTTTATTTAAGCTAGCCTGCTATACAATCCAAAATATCAATATTATGCCCTTTGGTGTTTTCCACAGGTTATAAATGAAGAGAGACAGAAATTTGTGTCTTCTGAATTAATTACACCGTCCCAATTCAAGAAGCATGGCTGAATCCAGTAATAACTACAGGCTGATAAACATGGAAGGGAATAAACTCAATCACTCACAGAGTTACCAAGAGAACACTTCAGCAGAGATAAAAAGAATGAAAAAACGATTTCTCCAGAAAGATGGAAGCTGCAATGTGTACTTCAAACACATCTTTGGGGAGTGGGAGAGCTATGTGACTGATATTTTCACCACATTAGTGGACATCAAATGGCGCCATATGTTTGTGATCTTCTCATTGTCCTACATCCTTTCCTGGTTGTTCTTTGGCTTAGTGTTTTGGCTGATTGCGCTCCAGCATGGAGACTTATCACCTGATGATGAAAAAACCCCTTGTGTTGATAATGTTCACAGTTTCACTGGGGCGTTCTTATTCTCCCTAGAAACCCAGACAACCATAGGCTATGGATCCCGTTGTGTCACTGAAGAATGTTCTTCAGCAATTCTGACAGTTGTCCTACAGTCAGTGTTAGGGTGTATCATTGACACATTCATCATTGGAGCTGCGTTGGCAAAAATGGCCACCGCCCGAAAGCGAGCTCAGACCATCCGCTTCAGCTACTATGCCACAATAGGCTTAAGAGATGGCAAACTCTGCTTGATGTGGCGAGTAGGTGATTTCCGACCTAATCATATGGTAGAAGGCACAGTGAGAGCCCAGGTCTTGCGATATGTGGAAGATAAAGTGGGGAGGATGACAATGGAATACAAGGATTTGAAACTACTAAATGACCAGATCATTGTTGCTACGCCGGTGACAATTGTACATGAAATTAACCAAGACAGCCCATTGTATGATCTGGACAGGAAAACTCTGGCTAAAGACAACTTTGAGATTCTGGTTACATTTGTCTACACTGGAGATTCAACCGGAACATCACATCAGTCAAGGAGTTCGTATGTACCTAGAGAAATACTTTGGGGGCACAGATTTAATGATGTTTTGCAGATGAAGAAGAAATACTACAAAGTCAACTGCCTCCAGTTTGAAGAAACCACCGAGGTTTATGCTCCCTATTGCAGTGCCAAGCACCTAGATACGAAGGAACAAGAATACACAACTTTTGAAAAGGCAAATGATGGAGAACCTGGGACATCGTCTTCAGGAGTCAGAGTCCGATCATGTAGTGCTGATGCTTTCATCAGCCATTGCGAAATTTCTGAAGGTTCACCCCAAATGTCTAAGCAAGCTAATGAAGCAGAGCTACCCTATGAAAAAACTCTTGTGACTTTAAGCAGAATCTCAATGGAATCCCAGATCTAGAGATCAACTGAAATGGCAGCTGCCAATTTTGACAAAGCTGCAGCAGTTTTCAAATGCACAAGTTTTAACAAGTACTTAATGACATGATCATCAAATGATAAAATGAACAACAGATTCATTCACTTCATCCAGATTTCACTCTAAGGGTCAGACGAGAGGTAACAGCATCCTTGTGTCTGCCATGGGACCAACACTGCCATTTCAAAATGATTTTAAAATGCTGCATGCAGCGTGGTGGGGTGAGGCACTCATATCCTCTGCCCCATGCCTTTTCAAGTGCCAAAATGGCTACATCCTCCTACGGCTGTTTCAGCCTATTCAAGGGTGGGGGAACAAAAGAACCTCAGCCTGCATTATTGCAGGATCAGGGTCTCATGAATTTGTAGACTACTTTAAAATGGCAGCAGCATCTTTGTTGCTGACACAAGGGTGCTTTCATGTCTAGATTGGCCCTACGTGGCACTCATTTTCTGCAGATGTCTTAATATTGCTAGATTATCCCTGTGACAAGTCACACAATTTTGAAAAACAGTAACACTATTCTCAAAACAATAATCATCAGATGCATCACTGGAGAATGTCTTATTTGGTAGGAATGTCAAAGTTGCCTTGCCACTGAATTTAAGTTTAAACTGGCTCATTCCTATTGAAGCCTATGATTTAGACAGAACATGGAATTGTGTTTTGGATCAATTTAAATCATCTATATCCAAGGACGTGGAATGGTATACTATGGCCTGATCTCATCAGATATTGGAATCTAAGCAGGGTCGGTACTTGCTTGGTACCATCAAGGAAAACTTTGCAGAGGAAGGCAATGGAAACACCTCCACCCAACTTAATCACTTGCCTTGAAAACCCTATTGGGTTACCATAGATTGGCTGTGCCTTGACAGCATGTTACATGTGCACACACACATATCCAAGTACTGAATATAGATAATTTAAACTGGTCCCAAACACAGTACGAAGTAACAGATTTGTGCATTTCAGCATAATTCATTTGGGTGCCTCTACATCCAAACTACATCCAACCCTACCCTCCCTTTAAAAGTTGGACTTCTGTATGCTGGATGCATTTTGTTTTCTTTTAAAAAATCAAAGTAATCACTTTCTTTTGTGAAGAAAATACTTGGGGTTCAGCCTAAATAATTAAATAAAAATGTTATTTCCACAACATCTTTAAAAGCTTCTGACTTTGCCAAAGTTATTCTGAGCACTTTATTTGCTTGTACTTTGTGTTGATTAGTGATTTAATTGCTACTTATTTGTTGTAATAATGTAAAACCAATCACAGCTAACTCTCCAAAATATGTTTAAAATACATTTTGCAAGCCTGAAAAAAGGATTTGGAGGTAATGATGTGAAAGCTGGTGTTATATTAAAATGATATATACATCCATTTCCTCCTACTATTTTGCATTGTCTTTCAGTTTGCTTTTCATACTTAGATAGAAAATAGGCTCACTTGCTTTTCCCTGTGTATTTCTGGTCCACAGGTCTGGAACGTCAATCCTTAATACTTGGACAAGTCTAAGTGAGTGGCAGACATTGCTTGGTTGTTTTTCATTGAACATCTTCAAAGTAGCTTTAGGTGATTTTTGTTCTTCCCAGATCCCACTGCCTATATAAGTTCATGAATCATTCATTTTCACCTGGCCTGAGGAACTGTACTGTTCAGGCCACCTTCTTTGTAGGCTCTGGATTTGTGTTCCTGAATGGGCAGCCCATAAACCATTTCATGACTCCACTTGGACAGACTCAGCAAGATCCTACCACAAACACCCATTGCTCCTTTCTGGTGCAAACACAGCATAAGGGGGAAAAAACAGTATAGTGGTCATAGGGTTGCCAGGTCCTGCCTCCTCCCCAGCAGGGGACTTTGGGAGGCATTTCTGGAGGGGGAGGGTACATCCCCAATGTGAATTGCCAAATGGCAAATTAGCCATTTGGAATTTAGGTGCCTGGCCCCCCTCTCCAAAAGCATTTAAAAGCCCAGAAAATCTACAACAACATTTAAAAGGACCTTTTAAATGTTTTGGAGAGTGGGGACCCCATGTGCCTGAATCACCACTTGGGATTCAGGCACTCGGGGGCCCCACTCTTCAAAAGCATTTAAAGGGTCCCTTTAAATGCTTTTGGAGGAGTGGGGGGCCCATGTGCCTGAATCCCAAGTGGCGAATTCATCACTTGGTGTACAAGCATATGGCCGGCAGCCACCCCTCTCCCTCGCCTCCTGCCAGATTTAAAAGAGCCCCTGAAATCAGGAGATCCCCCACCCCCACCTGGGGACTAGCATCCCTAGGTGGTCAGGACTCTGGAACACAGACCACTGAGAAAAACAGTAGAACAAGAACCAGGTGGCAGATTGAGAGCTGCAGTCTAGACAAAAGATTGCTGTATCTTGCAAAGCAATTTAGCAACACTAAACTTGATGAACTTCTGGACTCCGCTTTCTTGCCTGATCTTTACATTTCTGGGTGCCCTACTTCTTCCTCTGCTTGCAACTGATCTGCTTGCAGCAGTCCTGTGTAGATTTTAGTGGGGTTTCATATTCTACTGCATTCGCTAACAAGGCATGTGTTTTGACAACTTGAACTGTTAGCCCATCTTTTGAGATAGGGATGTCTTGATTTCATCCCTAGCTACTGCAGCATCAGAGCACAGCCTAAGTACACTCCAGAACATATTACGAACACTGGAAGAGTACAGCTTTAAGACAGGAATTCACTACAACAGGGTTAATTGAGTTCTAAACTAGCTCCCTTGCATCACCTGGTTCAGTGTTATCTATCTTGAGAGTTATCTATCTATCTCCAGGATCTCACTACTTGACAGTGTACAGATACTGCCCCTTTGTCAGTAATTTGGAATAGCTATTTAATCACTGTTTGTCCAGTTACAAAATGCTTGCTGATTCTGTCAGAGTTATTTGCTATCTTTTTAACATGTGAAATATATCAATTGTAGCTAGTGTTTACATTCTTATTTATTTATTTTATGGTATTTCTTGTTGGCCTGGCTCCAAAAAGGACACAAATCTTTTTTTTAAAAAAAGCCTCATTCTCAAGCATTCAACAGTGCCCAACTAAAGATAAATTTTGGAATTTGGCCTGCATGATGTAGCAGTTATTGTGTCAGACTAGGACTTGGATACCTGGATCCAAATCTCCACTCTTCCATAGAAGCACGCTGGCCCAATTACTCTCTCTCAGACTATCATACCTCACAGGGTTGTTGAATCATAGAATGTTAGAGTTGAAAGGGACCTTGCAGGTCATCTAGTCCAACCCCCTGCACTCTGCAGGAGCATAGCTGAAAGATAGCCCTACATACTTGCAACATACCCGAAAGATGGTTGTCCAGCCTCCACTTGAAAACGTCCAGCGAAGGAGCATCCACCACTGTTCCACTGCTCAACCACTCTTACAGATAGGAAGTTTCTCCTGATATTTAGCCGGTAACGACTCCCTTGTAATTTCCACCCATTAGATCTAGTCTTGCAATCCAGAGCAAGAGAAAATAGATCTGCTCCATCTTCTACATGACAGCCCTTCAAATACTTGAAAACTGCAATCATGCCCCCTCTAAGCCTACACTTTCTCAGGCTAAACATACCCAATTCTTTCAGCCTTTCCTCATAAGACTTGGATTCCAACCCTCTCACCATCCTGGTTGCCCTCTTCTGGATACGCTGGAGCTTGTCAACATCCTTCCTAAAATGTGGTGCCCAAAACTGGACACTGTACTCCAGGTGAGGCCTGACCATAGCAGAATAGAGCGGAACTACCACCTCCCTCGATCTGGACACAATGCTTCTGTTAATGCATCCTAAGATTGCATTAGCTTTCTTCACAGCCACATCATACTGCAGACTCATGTTGTTGTTGTTGTTGTTGTTGTTGTTGTTGTTGTTGTTGTTGTTGTTGTTGTTGTTGTTGTTGTTGTTGTTGTTGTTGTTGTTGTTGTTGTTGTTGTTGTTGTTGTTGTTGTTGTTGTTGTGAAGATAAAGGGGAGATACAGAGATAGAAGCGTTCCCTACCATTTTCCTTCATGCCAGGAAAAGCATCACTTGCTAGCCTTCTAAATAATTGTCCAGCTCAAATTAAAGACACAGAAATGGGGCCACTGAAGAAAGGGTGGCAACCCTACCAAAGCACCAACATAAGCAAGAAAATGCAACATTATTTATGCTTCCAATTAGTCTTAATGGTGTGCAACTCTGAAATGTTGTTGGTAAAATCAATCCAGGTGAGTAGCTGTGTTTGGCTGAAGCAGCAGAACAAAGTTTGAGTCCAGTGGCACCTCTAAGGCCAACAATGTTTTATTCAAGGTATGAGCTTTCGTGTGCGTGCATCTAAGGAAGTGTGCATGCACATGAAAGCTCATACCTTGACTAAAACTTTGTTGGATGTAAAAGTGCCACTGGACTCAAACTTTGCTCTCTTGGTAAAATCAAGTTGAGTTTATAGTATATAATAAGAATAAATATTCTTCACCTGGATCCATTTCACCAATTATTATTTCATATTTGTTTGTTTGTTTGTTTGTTTGACTTATATCCTGCCCTCCCTGCCCTCCCTGCCCTCCCTGCCGGGGCAGGCTCAGGGCAGCTTACATAAAAATTTCCTGTTGTTGTTGTCATCATCATCGTCATCATCGTCGTCGTCGTCATCATCGTCATCATCATCATCATCATCATCATCATCATCATCATCATCATCATCATCATCATCATCATCATCATCATCATCATCAATATATTGGAGACTGCAGCCATGCACAGATAAGACATATTTTTCTACAAACCTGAGAAAAGCCCCAGATTTGCAGGAAAATCTGAAATCTAAAAACCATCAAACAAAGAAACATCGGGATGTGACCTCTCCCCAAATGATAGAAGCAGCACCTCTAGCTTTAAGAAACAGGGACTCTCAGTGACCATTGACACTGGTTTCTGTCAGTAAAAGGTGGAGGGAGGGGATAGGGCCCTTTCCACAGTTGTTTTGCCCTTGAGGGAGAACTCATCAGGGCATGACCCAACAGCAACCATTGGGGGACGTCCTACTACATGTGGCATTGCCAGCTCTAATCTGGGAAATACCTGGAGATTTTTGGGGTGGAGCCTGAGGAGGGTGAGGGTTGGGGAAGGGAGGAACTTCAATGAAGTATGGTTCCAAAACAACATGTATAAGATGTTTTATAGATGGTATATTACACCAGATAGATTAGCTAAACAAAATAGTAACTATTCTGATAAATGCTGGAAATGTAAAAATAAGATTGGCTCTTTTTATCACATGTGGTGGCTATGTGATGTTACAAAGAGGTATTGGAGATGAATTCATGAGATAATGGAAAAAATAACAAGAACTAATATCCCGTTTACTCCAGAGATACTGTTATTGAATATATTTCAGAAAGACTTTGATAAAGCAGATAGGTATTTGATAGTTCATATGTCGACAGCTGCAAGGATAGTATATGCCAAATATTGGAAAACAAAACAAGAGCATGTGAATAAACTATTTGAAATGGTGGAAAATGACAAACTGACACTTGAAAGGAGAGCTGGCACAGAATGGACTTTTCAAAAAACTTGGAAGAGATCCTACGAGGTCAGCTGGAGAAAAACATTTATCATCTTATTGTTGTGCTCATATATTTTTTTTCTGTCCTTTTTATTTATCCATTTAAAAAGTTCTCAGGAGCATTCCCACATATGTTTGCTTTATAACACTATTACCTAAATCTGAAGTGTCTGAAACCCAATTCACAAGGCAGGTCAATCTTGCAGCATCATGATACACCTGTAGGTTGGAGGTCAAAAAACCACCCATGTCCCATTTAGCCTGTGAAGTTTGCCACCCAATCTTAGGCTTTTTAGCACCCAAGATAAATTCATTTATTATGGTTTCCACTCACCCAGAGTAGCCTTAGAAATTATTAAAGGAATAATAATCAATAAATAATTTATTTTCGGCATCACCTTCATTTTAATTACATAACAGAGAGATTGAAAGACTCCCAGGTATGCAGCATATTTTTAATGTCTGTAACTACTGATTTAAAATTAATCATTCAGATTTTAGAGTTATCCCAACCTATTTTAACTCCTAAATACATTAGGAGTATTGTTTAACTGTGTATTGGAGAGCCAATTTGATGA